TTTATTTTTGCATCAATTTTATATTACATCAATTTTTTTAAGATATTTTTTATTCAAAAAGATGAAATTTACTTTCCTATAGGTATTTTTTAGTCACAAATAAGAGCAAATGATAAGCTCCACCTCATAGTTTTTCATTTCAAGAAATTTTTATTAATCAAGATTAATTACAATATCTATGAAAAAGAGCTTTTTGTAATTATAGATTCATTTTAAGAATGGCATTATTATCTAAAAGGTACTTTTAATCCAATCATCATATATACATATTATAAGAATCTTGAGTACTTCATATCAATATGTCTTTTGAATTATTACCAAGCTCATTGGAGCATGTCTTTATCAAGATTTAATTTCAAGATTACTTATCTATCCAAAAACTAATAAGGTTTATTAAGTAATCTTGAAATCAAATCTTGATAAAGTATTTAAATGTTCTTATCTTGCACCAAAAGAAGGAAATGTAGCTTTTGGTCAATAAAGAATGATTCTCTTGAAATTGAAACATTTTATCTTTGAATAATAAAGTCAACATTGATTGTTGATTCAACCTTTGTTAAACAAATTCAATCAAGTATTTCCTCTAATCTTCTTATTTATAATATCAAAAATAATTCTTCTAAATTTCATAATACTTTTAAATTTGAATTTAAGAATAATTTACTCTATTTTGAAGAATGATTATATATTTCAAAAGACAAAACATGATTATGTATTCTTCAAGCTTGTCACAACTTTCCAACAATTGGATATTTTGAATACAATAAGACTTTAGAGCTAATATTAAAAGATTTTTGGTAGCTTCAAATATAAAAAGAAGTTAAAGAATTTGTACAATCATATAATATTTATTCAAGATCCAAAACTCCTTTTCATTAATTTTATAGACTATTTTAGCCATTATCTACATCAAAACAACCATGTTCTTTTTATCTATGGATTTCATCATAGACCTTCTTGTCTCATCTTTATATGATTTTATATTCATGATTATAGGTTATTTTATCAAGATGGTACATTTTATACTATGCATAAAATTTATCACATGTGAAGAAATGACTAAGCTTTTTTTTACAATATCTATCGCTATCATGTATTATTCAATGAAATTATATCAAATAGTGGGACTTGATGTATATTTAGATTTTAAAGAATATTTTTTAATATTCTAAAAATAAAAATAAAGCTATCTTTTACTTTATTTTTTAAAATGATGAACAAACAAAATGATTAAATGAAGTTCTAGAGCAGTATTTGAGGTATACCATCAACTATTATTAAGATGATTGGAAAATTCTTTTATCATTTCTAAAGTTTACACGCAATAATTTGAGACATTCTTCTACTCAACAAATAATTTTTTTTGCAAATTATGGTTATCATCTATAACTTGATACTTTTGACTTTTCAAAAAATAATAATCTTGTGGCAAAAGATTTAGCAAATTATTTGTCAAACCTACATACAAAAAATAAAGGCGTAGTTAAAAAAAAAAGACAAGAATGATGAAAGATCAATGTAAATGCCTATCGCAAAAAATAACTACAATTCAATATAGGTAAGAAGGTATGATTACTTTGTTGCAATATGAAGACTACTTGTTCTTATAACAAATTGGACTATTGTAGGCTTTGAAATTTTTCTATTTAAAAATAAGTTAATCTTATTACTTATTAATTACATCTACGAGAGTCTTTGAAGTTCCATCCTATATTCCATATATTTCTTCTTAAGCCATATAAGACAGTGAATATCTTAGGAAGAAGTTAAATGCTACATCTTCCTATAAAAATGAATAATAATCAAGAATTCAATGTGAAAGAAGTCTTAGATTCAACACAGCATCAAAATAGATTAAAATATCTTGTTCATGGGTACAAATATGATATTATTTAATGCACATAGAAGCTGGTAAAGAATCTTATAAATTATCAAAGAAAATTGAGGTTTTTCATTAACAACATCTATCTAAAACAGAGATAAAGTATATCAAATTTTTTTTATAAAAGAAACAAGATCCAGAAAAGATATCATTCTATCTTCTATTCTTAATTGTAATTTCTATGTATTTATGATGCTAAAAAAATAGAGAATCAACAACAAGCAAATTCAACTCAAAAGCTATCACTTGTTGACTTATTGAACAAAACATTATAATTATTACAACCTTTAAGATGACATAATTGAGATGAAGATCTTCAAGAATGACATATCTTTCTTTAAATAAATGAGAAGATACAACATGTATAATATCACAATCTTGAAAGAAACTCTCAATATTTTGGTGATTTTATTAAGAGTATGAATAATTCTTGATATTGTTTCAAATGTTTTATTTGAAGGAAGTTATGAAGGTCTCAACAATGATCAAATAACAAGGTGGTCTTTTTGCCTTGTATGGAACATTATTGATGGCTAAGGGGACTTATCAGCTATTTTCAAAGAGAACAAAGATCAAAATATGTGGCAAACACAATTTATTATATTTTAAATTTCTTCAATATATAATGATTGCTCCTTATAAAACTCGTTTTTAAAAGGAGTAATGTCACAATATCATATTATATATGTTTTTGCTTAAAAATACACTAGACACCTAACTATGGAAGATAAGTAGAAATGCAACAACAATCCTATCAAGTCTAATAGAATCTTAACTAAATTTTAGGTAAATCTTAATAATTCCAATCAAACTTTGATCAATTCAAAATAAATTTACAAGAAGTTATAAAAGAAAGACAAAGAAATTTCAAACTAATCTAAAAAAAAATAATAAGAAATTTTAAAGAAATATAAAAATAAATCTTAAAAAATAAAAATAATTATTAAAAATATTATAAATAATTTTTTTAAAGAAACAATAAGTAATCCTAAAGAAATATTTAAAATAAAAAATATAATTGAATCTTAATTAATTTTTAATTCAAATCCTAATTAAAATCCTAATTAAACCTTAATCAAATTCTAGATCAAATTCTAATGAAATTCTAATAAAATCCTAAATCTTAGACAAAACCTATACAAATCCTAATCTACTTCTAGTCAAGTTATAAACCAAACTCCAAGCAAATCCTAATCTTAACCAAATCCTAAAAAAATTCTAAACCAAACTCTATAGCAAAATAGAACCTCAATAATTAATAATTGAATTGTTAATTTCAACTCAACATTTGCACAATTTTTAATATCTTAGTTATAAACAAGCACAAGAAAGATGGAATTGATCGCACTTACTAATTGAAAGAAATACAAGAGTGTTTCTAAAACTTTAAGCAATCTTAGACATGATCAATTTTTTATAATTTGAGGTAAATTTAGCTTTAATCTATTATTAATTCTCTCTTAAACATACTAATATTAATTTCTTACCTCATTTAATTTAATTTGGCTCATTTAAGCTTTTACAAAGTAAATAGAAGTTCCTTCTACAAAAAGGCAATATTAAGACTAAATCTTTTACTACCTTTCTATCTTTTATTTTTATTTTTCTACTACATCTTTTTACTAGGCTCTTCTATAATAACATCTATATTTTTATTTTTCTATTACATCTTTTTACTAGGCTCTTCTATAATAACATCTATATTTTTATTTTTCATTATATAGTTGTGTTACAACAAAACAATGAAACAAGCTAATTATGTGACATACATATAGAAAATTTGCCTTGCAAGTTTATGTATCTTACAAAGTCAACACGTTTTGGAGGTCATTTAGAACATTGCCATATAGCTTTTAGTTAGATAGTATACATAGAGGCAAGAGTGAAGTCTTTTTCACTCTTATTAATGCATTTCTAGTCCTTAGCCTTATTTTAAGACTTTCTAGTTCTCTTATCTTTAGCAATAGTTATTCTCGTTTAATACTACATCATCTTTGAGTGATTTTTTAATTCTTTTGAATGACACAAGAGTATATTGAGGATTTCTTTCTTCAAGCTTTATATCCTTGATACTCACCTTATATATTAGAAATAAGGAAGTGGTCAACAATGGATTGATTACCTTATTTAAGTAGGTTAATGCGAATAGTTTTAGATTTAGATTGTGTTAGATTAGTTTGAAGTTTTCTTCCAATTACTTACATAATATATCATTTATGTTATATTGTTGTTTTGACCTCTTTTCTCAATGCTAAATGAATTCTTTTTATTCCCTTGGCCTTAGCTCTATTTGCATTTTCACAAAGCTCCTTCAATCTTTCTTTTTTTTGGCTATAATTTTTGTGGACATAATATAAATAACACATTTTTAATAATTTAGATATTTATGCATATATACAATAGGTATAAAAGTGAAAAAAAAATACTCTCATGTAGGAAAATAGAAATTAAAAAAAATCAAGTGTTTCACAAAATTTAACCAAAAAATAGAACTTATATAAATGTTTTAGCTAAAGATTCTCTTCAACCCATTTTGGACATATAAGCTTATCTAATTCTAATTGGTAGTGGTTTACAAAACTAAGAATCCAACTTTTACAAAACAGTGATGTGCATCACCTATTAATATTATCAAGAGAAGTGTAGCACCTAATTATACTATTATCCCACCTAGACCAATCAATAATTGCCACCCATTGATAAGTCACACATATCCATTCCAAGTACAATGAATTTTGTTTATTGCTCATAGCTGAACATTATTTTAACCAACTCTTGACCTATATCCAATCAATAAAATGTCAAACGTAGTTGTTGGATTAATGGAATTAGGTAGACCTGTGTGTTGGAAATGGGGGTGATTGACAATGGGTTGGCTACCTTAGGTAAGGGTAAATATACAAAAACTTTGTTAAAATGGCCTAAAATCCATTCTTGAATGAAAAAGAAATTTTACCATAATCCCATTCTATGGGTTGTTGCACCCTAGCCCATGCCAACTGGACAGACTAAGCCTGGACAAACCCAACCTTTTTTTTGAGATTATCCGTGAAACAAATTTTCCTCGAGAATGCCGTCCGACACCAAAAGGATAACCCATGCACTCGCTTTATAGAAACCTAGAGTTCAGAGGCGAGATTTTTTCCTCCGTAGCTTCTGCGGGAACTGGTTCGCTGTTGTCACTTTTAGGGTTTTCGGCTCCGTCTACATGGGCGACAACTGGGAGCGAGCGCAGCAAACATGTATGCTTGCGAAGCCACTGAGGAATCAGCAATGCGCTCTAAGAAACACTCGTGGTGACGAATGCGAAGGGTTCAGCGACCGTAGTCAAATTCCTTGCGCAAGCAAAATTGGCGAAGCCCTGAAATCCAGCTCTCGAAATCGCTACAGATTCGAGTAAGTCAAACTTTCTCAATTCTTCTCGTTATTGGGGTTATTTTCGGGAGAATTTTGACGTATATTATCCTTCTGATTGCTTCGTCTGGTGCTTAGTATGCAATCGTGGTTGCAACGACGCGATTAGGTAGAATTTTGTCGTAAGTATCGTGGCAGGTCTATGGCTGTCGGAGACGGAGGTGAATTAGTTCGCGTAAGTTGAGTCTTCAGGGAATCACGAAAATTGGCTGCTTTCGAGTTTCTCGATCGAGGTAGTATCGAAGTCGCGAGACGAAGCTGCTTTTGCAGTCTAGATAATGCTAACAATCGTTTGATTTCTAACACTAGCGCTGCTGTGTTTTTTGCAGGAAAAAGAGATCAGCTCAGAATGAAGGCGATAATCATTGAGGGTGGCGGAGGCCCGGAGGTATTGAAGCTCAAAGAAGTGGACGATCCTATAGCGGGAGAAGGAGAGGTGTTGATCAAGGTCGCTGCAGCGGCTCTCAACCGAGCAGATGTCATGCAGCGGTCGGGGCACTATCCTCCTCCTCCGGGCGCTTCGTTGATTCCTGGGCTCGAATGCTCGGGTACTATCGAAGCCGTCGGTCATGGCGTTACGCAATGGAAAGTCGGAGACGAGGTACAGAATCTCGTGTGCTAAAATGAAACCACAGCTGAGTTAGTTGACAGTCTAGATGTGAATGATGACCTAACATTTTTCTTTACCTTTTGCGGATTGTTATGGGTTTCGTTTGACTTGCAACTAAGCTTTCACCATTTCCTTTTACCTCGGCAGGTCTGCGCTCTGCTTGGAGGGGGAGGCTACGCCGAGAAGATCAATGTACCAGCAGTTCAAGTGTTTCCGGTGCCCAAGGGAATTTCATTGCAGCACGCCGCAGCCATACCCGAAGTTGCGTGCACGGTGTGGTCAACAATCTTTATGACGTGCCACCTGAAGAAGGGTGAAACTCTTCTGGTAAGATAGCACCGACAGTCTTTCTTTCCCGCTTCTGATTGATGACTGTGGGCTACATTCTGTTCACGACTTCTCAGAGGAGTTGAATCCGATGCATTGTTTTGAAAATAGTTCCCATTTGTTTGGTGTTTCGTGGTTGATTACTCACCTTATGGAAAATCGTGGATCCGGGGACTCGCTGTGCAGATTCACGGCGGCGGTAGTGGCATTGGAACGTTTGCCATTCAGATCGCAAAGGCGAAAGGTGTCAAGGTGTTCGTCACGGGCGGAAGCGAGGAAAAGCTGAAGAAATCTCGTGAGCTCGGGGCTGACATCGGCATCAACTACAAGACCGAGGATTTTATGGAACGCTGCAAAGCTGAAACGGATGGGAAAGGTCTGTGATGATCCCCTCAAACCTGCAATTCCTGGTCCGATTTGCTTCAGTGTCAGTAGTGTGGAGGGGGCATCTATCAACACCTGCACCAATTTCTTCCTCTCTTCTTACTCGCAGTTTACGACCCTGGATGATTTTGGTGAACACCGTAGTTATCAAATTGGTGACTACTAATCATTGCCGTCGATGCAGGTGTGGACGTTATCTTGGACATTATGGGAGCGTCTTATCTACCGAGGAACATCAAAGCTCTTGCAATGGACGGTCGCCTGTTCCACATTGCCACTCAAGGAGGCGAAGTAGGCGAAATCGATCTCAACGCCGTCATCTACCGACGTCTCACCGTGGCAGGGGCGGGATTGCGAGGGAGATCGACGGAGAAGAAGGGGGAAATTGTGCAGGACGTTTTGAAGAACGTTTGGCCGGAGATTGAATCCGGCAAGGTGAAGGTCGTGATTTATAATGCTCTGCCCTTGGCGGAAGCATCCAAAGCTCACGAAATCCTCGAATCCGGTTCCCATTTCGGCAAAGTTTTGCTACTCGTTGGAAATGCGTAAAGTTCTCTTCGAATCCTTGTTGGCGCTCAGAGTACCGATGTTGTAAATACCCATGTTTGCTATACAAATGAAATCGCATCGCCGTGGCCCTGCTCGCGATGAAGCTTTCAATCTACGGAGCTACCAGTGCCGACGACACTGGCCTATGTCAACGGAACCCGAATTCGTCACCGACGGACGGACGACACTAGACTTGCTGTGAAGCTCACACAGTCAGTTGTTTAATCAGTATACGGCCTCAAAATAAAATAACTCGGCGAATGGACTTAAGTGCGGGATTTGTGGGACAAGCACAATATGATCCGTTTTTTTAACAGGCCACATATTGTATTTTATCATCTGTAATAAAAATAAATAAATGGAATCTCATATGTTGAAGTTTTATTGTATTTGTTCGTTCATTGTCAATATAATAAAACGAAAAACATTACATCCATTTCTAAGTCTGCCATTTTCAATTATCAAAAGTAGTAGACACCATTATGAAGTGACATGTGAGGAGTAATTGTAGTTTTTCATTTTCAATACTGGAAAGACATTAATTTTGAGAAAATTAATGATGAATGTCCAGTTTCAATGATCAAAATCAGAACCAGCCAGAGAAGAGTTTATTAACAAATAATGCTTTGTCTTTTTTTTTAATATATATTTTTGAATATTCTCGTTTAATTATTCAACTCACTGTTCTAATCATTCTCCACATAAACCATTTACTCATTCTTGAATACAATTAGTTCTTTAATAGAATCCTTCAATGGTCTGCTTGCTATTGCATCATCTATTTGGAAGACCTATCAACATGTACACTTTCCTTACCTCCTCCACTAAATCAAGGGCTTGCTTCAAATCCAACATTTTGGAATTGTGTTGAGATTAATCAAAACTTAACATATATTTTAAAATGTTATCCCCAAAACAAAGAGTCCAAGGGCCCATATGCTACTGTTACTTTAATTTTTTTTGTACTTTTATCTTTTTATATATATATGTTTTGTGATAGATTATTGAATGATATGAAATACCTTGAAATTTAGATTCAAAACCCATCCTTTTGTAATTCTAATACTATTTTTATAAAAATATTCATAAGCAAAATTGCTATTATCATTGTGACTAATTTATATTTTCCAATTCATGTTTGCATGGATTTAGTACTGATACAACTTAAATTGATTCTTATCAATAATGCTAATTACACCCAATTTAACTAAACATAGGTTACAATATAATATTAATAACATATTTATTAATATCTAGTTATTAGTACTATTACAAGATTCTTGAATTCCTTATTTTTTTTGAATATTTTTTATAATATCTACTTAAATATTATTATTTTAATTATTATTATTGAGATAATTAAAATTTAATATAAAAAAATATTAATTTAAAATATCTATTCATAAATAAGATTAATTATGTATTCTGCAATTAATTTAAAACTAGTTGTTAAATTATGACCATAAAAGCATTCAAGCAATGATTAAAGAATACTTAATGTAACAAGGCTAACCAATTCGGATAATTTTACACTTATATGATTTTCAATAGTGAAGTATATGAGAATAAAATTGAAATTAAAATTGCTCTATATATAAAATGGTAAATCTAAACACAAGGATCTAAAATGTCCTAATTAAAATTAAACTTTACCTATTTATGTTTTTTGAGCCCTACTTACTTAAAATATTGTTGATTTTTAAGATCGTCTTCAGTTCTACATATATATATATATATATGTATGTCTGCAGAATCCATTCGGCTAAATGCTTCAGATTATGATTATTAGTATTTTTCTAGTTTAAATCTAACCATCTAAAAAACATGATTTCTCTTTAAAAATTACACAAAATTTTGTGAATGTTTTAAAATATCATTATTGGGTTCAAAATTTACTATTACATTGTTTGAATAAACCATGAAAAATTGAAAAAATAACTCCAAAACTCATAACTTGCAATTTGTTTTACTAAAAAAAAATGAATGTTTGGTTAACTAATTTAAAACTAAATACATTCTAAAATTAGGAATAAAATATTTTAGCACAATATTTAGAATTATAAGTATCAATAATCTAAGCCAATGGATAAAAATAAGTCTAAATTACTTTTATTTTATTTTCATACTTAACCAATAGATAAACTGATTTGAGAAATGTTTTATATTTGTTTGTGTTTGTCTGTGTTTTATTTTAACGTTTTTTTTGTATGTATGAGATAATTTTTCTTGAATAAATAATTCAATTTTATTTTCAAAAAAATAATTATTTCCTGAAAGAATATTATTAAAGTAAATTGAGAAGAATGCAATTAAGAACATGTATTTAAACATGAATTTACAACTCAATAACCACGAGTTGTTCGAAGTCGGGGTCAAGCATCCCGGGCCGGGTGCGATAGGAATGACCCTTCGGCACCCCTGGAAACCCGGCCTCGTCGCCGAAGGAGCGCCAGAAAGCACACCAAGGCCTTCACCAAGCATTCTTCGCCATCGTCGTCGCCATCGCCATTGCGCTCCTGCATTCGTCTCGTTAGGGTTTCAATTCAAGCTCCCCTGCGAAGCGAATTCGACCACCATGGTGACTCCCGTAGTTGGACGGCCCTTCTCTCAGGTGGTGTTCAGCGAGGCCAAGCGCAACTGGCCCTTCATGTTCGGCTTCGCGGTCACCTTCACACTCGTTGCCAAGCTCTCTGCAAGCCTTGACCGTGAGTGCTTCCCAGTGTGATCCCTCTTTCTTCCTCGTGTGGCCGTTATTTTTCGTCCCAGGGACGCGCTCTGTGTATGTGATTTGTTGTGGAGCTCTTCTAATCTTTAACCGGCCCGGATCGTACTACGACATGAGTGATTCGAATGTGCTGTGACGTTATTTTGACTTCGTGTCTCACTTAGATTTGTTTGCCTTCGAGGTTGGAAGCACTAGTTTGATTTGTAGAATCTAGTTGTGTGGTTTAGATTTCGATTAGTTGCCTAGTTTTTCTTTTCTTTTTCATGATGAGGCATTTTTATTACGAACATGCTCGTCAATTTTTCGTTTTTTTTCTCGTGCAGAATGTGAACATTGCTTGTTGTTCTTCAATCATGCCATGAACGGTGTGCTAGATATATTGTTTAATCTCTAATTCAACTCTCTTTCTGTTTCTTATTTTGCAGCTAAGGAGGCTCACAAGTCTAAGTTCGTCAATCCCTATGGACATCATTGGTATGGAATCTGGATTCCCACTTGTAGATCCGAAGTTTGGTTTTATGTCTGTTGCAAATTATGCCGTAAGTCTGTTCCTCTCTCGGCTATATTGCCATATAGCTTTGCACCTGAGCTCACGTTTGCAGAATGAACGTACGTGAGACGCGCTTGTTTTCAATGTTTTCAGGGTGGCTTAAAGATTGGATGCTCAAAAGTCAGAATATGTATGATATCATGTATCACCTTTTAAATTGTCGGATTCTAATACCTTGTGGTCGGCTTTTACAGATCATCTAGTCAAGATGCACGGAGATGCAAGAGTTAATTATATGTTATTTCCGACAGCATCTGCCTTTCAAAGTGATCCAGATTCTTATGACCAACGGTCGTAATCAGCTGTAATAGTGTGTCGCTAGTAGAGTGTGCATCCGTCTAATTTGCCACCAATTTTTGAAGTTTTCTTCTTGAAGTTTTTAGTGCTCTTCCAATCAGAATTCCAGAGGTCTGGGCGAATGCCCACATGCAGGCAATACTTGAATTGTCTGTACAATGCATCTGTGTCTCATGATTCGAGCTTGAAATAAAATTTTGAAAGCATTCTTGCCATCTGAGATCCAATCTGTCACATCGATTGTTGTGTTGCAGTTTGATGTGTACAAGCCCTATATCTTGAGCCAAAGCCATTTCTTAATAAAGGATACATGTGCACGTAAGACCCATTTAACATAATCTACAGTTATATCTAGAAATGACACTTTGGGAGAAAAAATAGTCTATGCTTATCGTCAAAGCAAGCAACCATCGTATTGATGTATATGATCTAATTCAGACCTGTCATAGAATCCATGCGAAAGCCACTACTATGTTGCGTATTCTGTAGCGACTATGTCCTCCCCAAATTCACCAGTTTCTAATTGATTACCCCGCACCTTGAGTTCATTTCTCCTGTAACGCAAGCCACAGGTCGGGTGTGTTTTAGGCAGCAGTTTTTTTTGTTATCGTTCACAATTCTTTTCATCTGGATTTGGGGGAGCTGGTGCTGCTTCAACTGCCTCGTGAGGGCCATGATCGAAACAGGTTTGCAGTGTATTCGCCATGTATTAATTGAATTTTATTCGATCAATTACGGTCTACAGATTCTGCATAAGCATGAAAATTCTCACAACCTGCTAGCAACTTAGGATTAAACTAGAACAAGACCCGATCGAAGTGAATGCCACCTTCTGAATCTCTGATCCCTTAGCAAACTCATGAAACTTAGATCGCAACATGTGGATTAGATTTTACCTTTCTCATCCAGAAGTTCGTGCTTATATGTACATGTTCCAGAAGCAATTTGTTGTGAATCACTTGAACACTTCCATATTCATGTGAAGCAGGGTTCTAACATTTTGGTTGAGAATACTTGATGTTGAGCTAATTTAAAACTTGACCTATTTATCCATAGAGCTCAGCTATTGATGGTTTACTGATGCAACTTTGAAGTGAGAACTAGTGATTGCTGGTTTACTAAAGTTCATGATTGATCTGATTGGTTGATATTCAGATGATGTATGCAGAGTTGCCATTCCATTTTCATCTAAGTAAGAAGAGTGTGATCTATAAGCTATAACCAAAATTAAAATGTGAATAGAGAGTTGGCATACTGTAACTTTGGCAGACTAACCATTACAAGAGTTGTATCATCATAATGTCAACAAATCTTGGATTTCTTTTAAATGTATCTGATGTTGTGTGAAGCTTTACAATCAAGTTCTAAATCAATGTATTGATTGTAAAGCTTCACATGATGTATTTTTGTGGATTTAGTATTAAATAATATTTATATTTTACTATCAATGAGATAATTAGATAACTCTCTTATCAACACATGATTTTTATTTTTATTTTTTATTTTATTTTAATAATAATACAATATATTCTTCTAATAAAAATATATTATTTTATGTTAATTATTAATTTTAATTATATATTTTTATATTTTAAAAATACATGGTTTTATAACAATTTTTTTATTTTGGCTATTTCTTTGTCTTTAATGGTCATTATATAAGGAACAAAAATAACTATTTAAATTAAAAGATCTACTATTACAAAAAATAGAATTATAAAAATTTGAAGTTAGAAAAATTGTGATAAATGTGATAAACTATAAGGAGGTATATTACTAGAATAGAAGTATAAATATGTGAAGAGAAGAGAACTAAAACCGCTTGAAAAATAAGCTTTGGATTTGAATTCTTATACTACTAGTCTAATGTCTAATCACATGGACTTTCTAGTGTGAATACACAAACAAATAGCCTAGTCAATGATGTCCAATTAACATGTAGACACTTGTCTTGTTAGGCCACATAATGACTTGGTAGGCTATGATGGCTATATGATATTACTACCAACAAATGGCTCCTATACCTTGTCAATCGGCAAAGAGGTGTCAACTGTCCACTCTACATTATGTCTAATAGGAATTATACACTCTATTAACACTTCCACTTAATAACATATTAGACTAACTCAATTAGATGATATCCATCATCTCCTTGAATTTACAATGTTTTTTACAAGTTAGACCTTTGGTCAAAACATCCGCAACCATGACTTGAGTTTGGCAAAAAAAAACTAAGTTGATGTTGCCACTTTCCATCTTTTTACAAACAAAGTGATATTGAATTTCAACATGCTTAGTATGAGCATGGAATGTAGGATTCCTTAAAAGAATAATGCAACTTTTGTTAACATTGAAAATAATCAGAGGATCATCTTGTGAAAATCCAATGTCTTTAAAAAAACTTTGAAGCCAAATTGCTTCCTTTGTAGTATGAATAGCTGCCATATACTCTATTTTGGTGGTAGATAATACAACCTTTGATTGCTTCTTACCCAATTCCAATTAAGAAACAACCAACGGTTGCATTATCTACTATCAAGGTTTACAATCTTTCATGCCAAATCTTTTAACGACATTTTCTACATATATTTGTTGATTGCGGTAGATTTAATGAATCTTTTGATTTTTCATTATCTACATGTCCAAAATATAGTGGATTTCTTCTAAATCCTTCATCTCAAACCTCACAACTAAGTTTTTCTTTGTTTTTAAGAGAACTTCTTTGTTATTGGATAAAAGCATCAAGTCATTGACATAAAGTGCAATGATGATGAAGAATCTACTAGTTATCCACAATATATAAATGTTAGGATTAACATGGCTACTTTTCAAACTTTATGAGGAAAAATAATCATCTATCTTCATGTACCATGCCATTAGAAATTGTTTGAGTCCATAGAAAATTTTAGAGATTTTACATATCAATCATTCTTTACCATCTGATATGTAGCCTTTTGATTGATCTATATATATATATATATATATATATATATATATATATCTTCTCTTCACAATCTTCATTCAAAAATACTTTCTTGACATCCATTTGATGAATTTCCAAATCTTCAACTGTAGCTAATATAAGAAGTATACGAATTGAAGTAATTTTTGCCACTAGAGCAAAAATCTCATTGTAATCAATAAATCTTGCCTTATAGCACTCCATTGATCTATTTGTATAATATTTGATCTTAAAAATCTATTTGCAACCAATGGATTTTTTATTTGCTAATAGTGGTATCAAAGTCCAAGTCTTGTTTTCAATGAAACTTTGATACTCTAAATCCATTGCTACCTTTCATTTCTAAGTATCATCTATTCTCATAGCTTCAGTGATAGTAGCTAGTTCTTCAATACTTGTGTAAAAAACATGTACCATACATAGTGAAGATATGAATGAGTTAGAAGGAATCTAAGCCAATGCTGATTCATTAGTTGCTTATTGTTGTGCCAAAAATTGGACTCTTGTACACATCATCATTGGTGAAGGTAGAAGTAGAGGTGGGATTAAAGCCACACATTATTGTTGAAGTCCTCAAGCTTGTGTTCAAATATCTTGAATTGAAGATGAAGATTTAAATTTTTTTTATTGGTGATCTTTGTTTATGTTCAAATCCCCCGCTGTATCCTCATTATCACTTTTTAAATTTGATGAAGTCTTGATAGGCTCAATTCTAATTCTTATTTCTTGAAGTTTATGAATAGAAACCTCCAAAATTTCTTCCATTTATTTAGAGTCTTTACACTCAATAAACTTAATATCATGGTTCTTATTTATAGAACCATTTTCAATATTGTATAAATGATAGTACTTAGTATCCTCAGCATAGCCCAAAAATATATATTTTTTACTTTTGAGGTCAAGTTTTGTGCATTTTATTTTTTATTTATTTATTTTTTTAGTAATCTAAAACATATATATAAGCATTACATTCAAAGACATAAAGGTGTTTTATTGAAGGTTTTATACTTGACTAAATTTCTTTAGGTGTTTTTTCTTCTATAGCCATAGTAGGAGCTCAATTAAGGATATATATTGTAGTATTGATGGCTTCTATGTGCTATGCATTTGAAAGTTCCTTATACTATAACATACACCTCACACTCTCAAATAATGTCTGATTCTTGTATTTTATAACTCTATTTTGTTGAGAAATATAAAGTATTAAAAATTATCTTTTAATGTCATGTTGCTTACAAAACTATTTGAAGATCTTAGATGTATATTCTCCTTCATTGTCACCATGAAATTTTTGAATCTCGAAGCATATATTTTTTTCAATTAAAGCATTGAAAATCCTAAAATTATCTAGGACTTTAGAATTTTGTTTTATGAAATATACAAAAGTCTTTTATTGAAAAATCACTAATAAAAATCACAAAGTATTTTGCTCCTCCATGAGATGTTGTCTTTATAGGACTATTTACATCAAAATGTAACAATTCTAAGAGTTTTGTTGCACAAGTACCACCTATTGTTGAAAAAGTGTTATAATATTGTTTTTTTTATAAATATACCCCTTATAAAATTCTAACTTTGTGTTCTTACCTATATCCAGATGAGTGACCATATTACCTATTTGTAGTTTCTTTAAGCCCAAAATGCCATAATAACCATATTATTGATGCTAAAGATCAGCCTTGTTTAAAGTCTATTTGTCTTTGTAACAAAGAAAGTCTTTCTAACTTCATCTAAAGATCCTCATAGCTTATAGAAGCTACCATGACTAACACCTTTGATGGTTATATTGTCTCATTTCATAAAACATGTATTAGCCTTGAAATTAATTTTGTAACCTTCTTCTATTATTTTTTTAATAGAAAGAAAATTCTTGGCCAATCCTTTAATATGCAAGATGTCATGTACATCCTTTTAAATATTATTTAGAAATTGGAAAGAAATCTTAAATTTTTTTTATAGTAAATTTAGTATTATTGTTCAAATAAACTTTAGAGCCTTATGGTAGATTTTTGTAACTTAAAAATCAACTTTGATTTCTCATCATGTATTGAAAAGCACCAAAATTGATGTACAATTCTTTTTCACTTATAATGATAGATAATGTAGCTATAAAGATAGATTCATCCTCCTTTTGATCCTTCTTGTCTAATGTATTAGCTTGCTCTTTTTAAAAAGTCTTTTTTTAACTTTCCTAACTTTTTGTTCTTCTCCTTTGTTCAATATTCTCTCTTATAATGACCTTTCTTACCACAATACTT